ACAAAAATATAGAAGTAAATTAAAAAATTAAGGCACTAGAACATGAATAGATGTAGTGTATTAGGAAACAGTCTTTGTCAATCACCCATTTTTCCCATTTAAAATTAATGCACGATGTCTTGCAAACAGCATTGTATCATGAAGTCATGCTTCTTCTGAGAACTGCATTCTAAGAGTGTTACCAGAGTAATAACTACGATACACAATTTCCCTCCCCATGTCACCAGCACTGATGTAGAACTGTCCTACCTGGTAAAGGTCAACGGCACTTTGCCATATTCACTCTGTATACTTCCTGTACACCAAGAAAATTATAAAAAAAAAATTGCATTTCACATCTGTAAGACACTGCATTGATGGAATTACAAATGTGACAGTTTTATCCAAGAATTCAGTTCAAATATCTTTTAAGTCATAAAAACCATGGTAAGGAATACATTTTAAAATATATCTCTCCCATGCCAAAATTAATTGGTTGTAATGCAGATTTTTCTTTTATTGATCATTGTCATTTCAAACGAAAAAGAACTGGCCTGGCAGCTGCTTTAAAATCTAACAAAAACTTGTAAGATAGCACCTTCTGTTTAATTTGGTGGGTCGTCTATGATGATAGCCATCTGAAACTATGTACGTAAGAGCTGTTACACTTCAAGTTTTTAAACTTTCTTTCTTTCTTTTTTTTCCTTCCTTCCTTTTTCTGCCTTCCTTCCTTTCTTTTTGAAACAATGTTTTACATGCCATTAAGTCCAGTAGATATCTTAAACTCAACATGTCCAAATCTGAACTCATCTTTACAGTAGAGGGCAAATCATCCTCCCAGACTTCCAGACTCTCAACCTAGGTGTCATCTTCTAATCCTCACTATCACTTACTCTTCATACCAATCTGTTGCCGAGGACTGTTGATTTCATCTTTGCAACATCTCTTGATATGCTACCTTCTCTCTTCTAACACTGCCACCACTCTAGTGCAGGCTGTCATCACCTCATAATCTCTGGATTATTACAACAGCCTGTTGGTAGGTTTTCTTGCCTCAAGTTTCTCCTTTCTCCAGTCTAATCCATCCTCCATTGTACCATCAGAGTGATTTTTTTAAAGTGCAGGTCTGACCGTGTTTCTTCTTCCCTCTCTTCTCTCCCCCTTCACCCTCCCAATAAACTCTAATGGCTCCCTATCATCTTCAGGATCAAATGCAGAATTCTCCATTTGGTATTCATTGTCCTTCCTAACCTAGCCCTCTTCCACCTTTCCCATTCTTTCTTTGTGCTCTTGACCCTGTCCTCCTTGCTATTTCATCAACGAGACACTCCATCTTTGGCCTTGGGCATTTTTTCTGGCTCTCTCCCATGCCTGGAATGTTTTCTTTCCTCATTTCCAACTGCTGGCTTTTGTGACTTCCTTTAATTCCCAACTAAAATCACATCTTCTACAGGAAGCCTTTCTCAGTCTCTCTTAATTCTAGTGCCTTCCTTCCTTTTAATTATTTCCTATTTATCCTATAAAAAGCTTGTTTATACATAGTGTAAACTTTACATTCGATTGTGGCTTCTCTAGAGCAAGGGCTATCTTTTTCTTTTCTTTGTATTCCCAGGACTTAGCACAATGCCTGGCAAATAGTAGTAGGTACTTAAAAAATGCTTCTATTGATTGACTTAAATCAGAGGTTCAGAATTTTTTTGTGTCATGGACTTTATTGTCAGTCTGGTGAAGCCAATAAAGACCCCTTCTTAACAATAATGTTTTTAAATGCTTTAAGATAAAATACCCAAAATTATCAAGGATGCCAGTTATTGAAATCTAGTTATCAAAATATTTTAAAAAACCCCATGGGATCATAGACCTCAGGTTAAGAACCTTTGACTGAAAGGAATAACCAATGTTTATCTAGATATGTCACTATTTTTTTCCTCTAGCATGTATGTATTTCTCAAATAAAAAGGTAACAAGGAAAATGAAAGCAAGCAATGACTTGGATGCTGATTTTAAATACTATTTAAAAAATACTCTTTTATAATGTGTGTCAGTCCTTTTGAAATAATTCACTGTCATATGGACAAGAAATAATGCTTAAAGAGGAGTGACAGCTTCTGGTTCTTAAACTAGATAAAACTCAGGTTCCCCTTGAAGTTTACCACTACACAATATTTAATTAGCCTCTCAATATTTTTAGCTAGGAACTGGACTGAAATAACAAAAATCCTTTCTCACAAAAGCCACTGACTAGGAGAATATAGGATATTTGTTTTCTTTGTGTCTCTTCTCTCTGGTTTGTCCTGGCACTTTTCTCTGTTGTTTCTCCTATAATCTTTTTGACTACTCCTTCTCAGTCCACTTTGTGAGATCATTTATCATGCTGCCTCTTATCTTGCTTCTCCCCTCTTCTTCCCCCATGCCCCCAGCCAACTGTGAGTCTACTCCAAGGCTCTTTTCAGAGCTGTCTTCTCTCCATACGCTCTTTGACCTAGCAACTTTGATCAGTTTCCATAGGTTTAATTATCATTACTGTCCGTGTGACTCCTGGATCTATATATCTAGCTCTCATCTCTTGCCTGAACTCTAGTCCAACATTGTCAACAGCCTGTGGTGCATTCTGAACTTAATTATCATGTAAGCCAGAGGTGTCAAACAAGCTGCATGTATGCAGTACTCCCAATTGTAACCCAAACCAGATTAAAATGTAATTTGGTAATATTTAACAAAATAAATAAAAATACACATAAACATAGATAACATTACCTTTTCAAATTATGTCAACATGTAGCTGCAGGGATCTGTATTTAAGGATTAGTGACTCCTTCTCCTCCTTTCTATTTGAGTTTGACACCACTGTTTGTAGACTTTTCAAACTGATAATCCAAAACAAAATTCATTACCTTCCCCGTTATCCACCGTCCCACCCTTCTTTGAAACTTTCTTATTTTTCTTGAGGGCATCACCTTCCTACAGTAATCCCAACTTAACATCCTTGACTGCTCATTTTCTCCTGCCCCCATATAGCCAGTCAATTGTCACTTCTAGTTCATAATAACTCTCACATCTACTTACCTCTTTTTGCCTACTCACCAAGCCAGCATCCTAAATTAGGTTCTCAATACTTTTGCCTGGACTATTTCAGTAGCCTACTAAATATCTTATCACAATTGTTTGAATTTTGTTTTTCCTTTTTCCATGTGTCCATATATCTCCAAATCAACCAACCAGCATTTATTAATTGTCTGTACTCTGCTAGGGACTGTGCTAAGTGATGAGAATAGAAGTACAAAGAATGAAACTGAGGCCTGGGGAGATAAAGGATTTGCTCGTGGCCACACTTCTTGTAAGTGGCTAAGTTTTTACTTCAAATCCAATAATTTTTTCATTCTACCTGGATTTTGTGCCACCTGTGCCTGCTTTTGCACCTTAATTCCCAAACTTGTCACATCCCACACTTCCCCAAAGACCTCCATGCCCTAGCCCCTGGATGCCTTCCCTCTTCCTCTTCACCTCTTGCATTCCTGTTTGGTAAATGTTTTGTTGGAAATAGCAGAAAAATGTAGTGATCAGTCTTTTCTCCTGACTTCATTTTTTCTTTTTAAATCCAGGATGTAATTTGAATATTACTTGGGACTTAAGAGCTTTGTGGTTTTATATAATTACGTTCATTCATTCGTGGTAATTTGCACATTAAATTTGTTGAAGGCTTTGTGTGTGGTGAGGGGGGAGAAGGATTTTATTTAAAAATCAAACCCATGAACAATGTATATTTTCATTATACATGTTTTGCATGAGTACATATGAGTGTTTATACACACATTTGTAAACTGCATATCTTATAGATCTTAATCTAGAAAGGAACACAGAAATAAAGTAATACAATTTGTAGATGAGGAAAGAAAGAATTAACTGTAAGCATTAAATTGGATCTTGTTAGAAAGAACAGTATAGTGTTCTTGGACATTTCATAGGCTAGGCAGCTGTATATTAGTGGTTAGTTTCTTGGGACAAATAATTATTGCACAGAGCTTACTTTGGGCACAGTGTAATCTTACATTTCTGTAATTCTTTTACTGAGAATTTTTATGCAGTGTGTTGAGAGAAAGCAGCCAGAAAAAAATATGAATGTGTGTGAATATCTGGGGTATGGAAACACAGATGATTGTAGAGGTAGATGACTGGGGAGCATGGGAGAGATGCCTCTCCTCAAAGCATTCTTTAAAAAAGTCTGGGTATGGGATAACTAAAGCTGTTGTGGACTAGTCCAAGAATTCTGGGGTCTGTCACTTTTACATTTCTGTTCCTTAGCTAGTTCTTCAGTGGTGGTAGTTAAATTCCATCTGTTTTGGAAAGCTTTTAAGTGTTTTACTTTTGAGTCACTGTAGCACTTTTATTATGAATAGGGTGAGAGGCTTATTTTTACTTAACAGGGGAGAAAGATTTATGTTAGTTATAAAAACTTCTTAATAATGAGTTACTAAACACTAAGTCAAAATACTCAAGGCAAGCCTATAAAAATCTCATCAGCAGATTTTAAATCTTAGGACAGATTACCATTATTATTTTTCTTACTTATTACCATGTAGGTATAGTAGTACTTGAAGGTAGTGTAGTAGTGCCTGAATGTAGACTAGATGAGTTCTCAAGATTTTTTGCAACTCCTTGATTCCATGGTATGTGTGTCTCTTGAATTTCAAATGCTTTTGAGAAAAATGGTACTCAATGTGTGATAGGTTGTTTTTTTTGGGGGGGGGGTTTGCTTTTAGAAAGCAATTGAATGAACAGAATTTGGACAAAATGAATATTTGTACATGAATATTTGGGGGAAATTGCCATGACTATTTTGACTTCAAATCTGCAAGTGGAATAAAAGCAGGAAGTATGTTTGCCTACTAACAAGGAGGGGAACAAAGTTTGTAGGAAGAAAAAATAGCTGATTGTGAGAACTGGTGTGTGTGTTTAAATAATATGCCTTCAAAGTTCTTCTTTATTGGTATATATTTAATGTCTTGGTTTTTGTCTTGTAGAATGGAGATGTGTGCATTTCTATTCTTCATCCTCCTGTAGATGACCCACAGAGTGGAGAACTGCCTTCTGAGAGGTGGAACCCTACTCAAAATGTCAGGTAATGGACTATATGAATAAGGACCATCTTTTTTTACCCTCTTGGGGAGGGAAAGGAAGAAGAAGAGACTCCTTTTGGTGAAAGTTTTTCCAGTTTCCTTTTCCCCATGGGTATTTTGTGGGATGTATTTATGTTACTCTGGAAATGTATAAATTGTTAGGTTCTCTTATGTTCACTTTTGGTTTATAATCTTGTAGAATTTTGTCACATTCTATAATATCTCTTTTGGTAAGTTTTCAGGAAATTAATTAAAATGTAAAAAATTATGTTCTATTTGGTATTGATTATTTTTTCTAAGTTTTTATCCTACCTTCATCCACAAATGTTAACAATATCATTTAAATGTGGAAATATTTTTGTTCCAACACTTTTTAAAATGGCAGCACTCTTTTTGTGTTTGTGGCATTAAGCAACAAAGACACTTTTCCTTTTGAAACCATGTACATACACATATGTACACATACACACCGACATACACAATATACATATATGTATATACACATAGATGTATACATTTATTACCTAAAGTATAGTTAGGCTAAGGATGTTGATAAAATATCTCTGCTTTTGTGAAAAGTCTTGTGGGATCTTTTTGGATTGTAAGACGTCTAGACCTATGGATACTACTATAACTACTCTGTAGTGGTAGAAGCAGAGTATCAGTACCTGTGGAATTAAATGTTATAGCATATTAGATTTAATATATGCTGTATTATGTCTTCATTTAGGTCAAATATACTTAAGTTGCAAGCTTCTTAAAAAAATTTTTTTTTATTAATTTATTTTCATTTATCAACATTTACTTCCATAAGCTTTTGAGTTTTAAATTTTCTCCCCCTCCCTCTCTGCCTGCCTCCCCAAGAAGGCATGCAATCTGATATAGGCTATCCATATACATTCCTATTAAACATATTTTCACATTAGTGATGTTGTAAAGAAGTATTAGAACCAGGAGGAACCACCAGAAAGAGAAAACAAAACAGAAGAAAAAAATAGCAAGTAGTATGCTTTGATCTGCATTCAGACTCCATAGTTCTTTCTTTGGATGTGGATAACATTTTCCATCATGAAACCTTTGGAGATGGCTTAGATCCTTGCATTGCTGAGAGGGGCTAAGTCTGTCAACGTTAGTCATCGCGCAGCGTGGCTGTTACTTTGTACAGTGTTCTCCTAGTTCTGCTCACTTCATTCAGCATCAGTTCATACAAGTCTTTCCAGATTTTTCTGAAGTCCACCTGCTCATCATTTTTTCTAGCAGAATAGTATTCCATTACATTCATATACTACTACAACCTGTTCAACAACTTGAGGAGCAGGAACTATATTATTTCTTTGCTTTTAATCATCCCATTTGTTGGTATTGTTGCAGTCTAAGTTAAGATGAATACCCATGTTCACTAAGAATTTTACTTTACAGGGATCCTCAGTTAAAATCGTCAATATATAGTGAGCTCTTGGTAATAGTGTATTCTGCAAAAGGAATTTGTTAGCAGGTTTGAAAGACTCTGTAATAACCTCAAAATATTTTTTGCGATTTCCATTAGTATAAGCCAGGCCTTTCTTTCTCCAAATGCAGAATTTCCTCAAGATAATACTCAGTTTTTTTTATCTTTCTTCCATAGCAGCAGTTTGAATCAATATGAATTTATTAGGTACCTACTATGTGCAAGGTATTAGTTGCTGAGGATACAAAGACAAGATGAAAAATAGTCATTTGCCTCAAAGAATTTACTGCTAATATGGTAGGAAGAACTATAATCCTAAATCAGAGGTTCTCAAACTTTTTGGCCTCAGTACCTCTTTGCATTCTTAAAAATTGTTGATTATCACAAAGAATTTTTGCTTATAGGTGTGCATACCTATACATATACATACATATATATCTGTATATATACAGATATATATATATATATATCTGTATATAAAAATGTATGTATATGCAGTATTAGAAATTAAAACATCTTAGTGTTATTTTGAAAATGGTATTGAATTCTTGGACTTCCTGAAAGGATCTTGAAGAGCCTGAGGGTTCCCCAGATCGTATTTGAAAACATTGCCTTAGATTGGTAAACTTGGAGGCTTCCTCTTTCATGTTAGTTTTGGAACCTAGTCAGTTGAAAATTTAAACTATATTTAACTATCTCTTTTCTGGGTGTTATTTTAAGCAAATATTTTCTGTTGATAAGTTATCAAACTCAAATATTACCTCCTCCATTTTGTTTTTGCATGTCTCTCTAGTATAGGGCCTTGTGCCTTAATAGTACTTAATAAATTCATGTTGAATTGAATTGGTACTATATAAGAAAGATAAAAGTAATGAAACCAGTAGAATGTGGTATGGTTTGGAAGAGTGAAGTCAAGGAGACTCTCAGCCTCAAGCCTTAGAACCTGGACAGTGGGCTAGTCACTCATCTTGTATAAGTGTATTCCTTCCTCTTTACTTTTTCTATAATCATATATTGACCATCACAGTAAGCATTTTTTAAAAATGATGATTATTTTACTAATCTGATCTTTTTTCTTGACCTTATGTTCCCTGGTTGCAACATGTTACCTTTTTGGACTTTTTTTTTCCATTCTGTCCTCATGATATCAGCTATAGCTTGAGGTGTATTTTAAATGAGGGCTTCCTAATTTTTTTCCAATCTAATTGTGCATTTCTTAGTTTGCTATACTATTCTCTTTTTATACTTGCTAATTTGTACTGATAGGTTGAGGATGGAGTAAAGGTGGTAGAAAGGAAGTACATGATAATAATGAAGGGGATAAAGATCATAAAATTGTAGATTCAGAGCTAAGAAGGGACCTTAGAGACTATTACAGACAACCCCTTTCCCCTTCACCCAATTTTGCGTATGAGGAAATTGAAGTATAGAGAGTCAGGCTTAGTGATTCACACAGGGTCACAGAATTAGTATCTAAGGGCATACTTAGATCATCTCAGAAAAATGAGTGATGTGGGTGGGTTCATGAAGTACATGTAATAATATTTGTTGCAGTTTGCCCAATTTGCTGAACACTAGTGAGGCCTTTGGGTACACATTTAGTTGCAAAGTGTTGGTCTAGATAGACCACATGGTTTAGTGAATATGCAGTTAGCTTGAAAATCCTGCTCAAAGTGTTGATTAGTTTATTACTGTCAACATGATGTGGCATGTATTCATATAATTCCAATAATTGGTAAAAGTAATGATACGGGTTTGGATCCCAGTCTTAGCCCTTGGTATCCATGTAATTTTGTGAAAGGCCTGTGCAGGCCTTCATTTCCCATTTGTAAAATAGTTAGCCTCTGAGTTCCTTTCCAGTTCTAAATCTGATATTCTTAAAGAAATTCTTAACAAATGAGCTTTGCTGTACTTAGGTTAGTTTCCCATCATGTTTTTTGTGGAAGTTACTTCAGTAGCTATGAATTATCTTTGATGAGATATTGGTAAAGGAGTTGATCAGAGGATTTTAAATGAGCTTCATTCCTTCAGCAATCTGTGGAGCTCCTTAGGGGCACAGAGTACTGTACTACATTCTTTGGAGTTTCCTTATAACCCTCCCATGAGTACCTTTGCTGGAATTCCCTCTTTTCTTTCTGCCTTTATTTTAAGACCTAATTCAGTGTTCACCCTTTGAAATCATCATACCCCCATCTCACAGACCAATAGGCTGTGCAATATTGACATTTACTTGGAGGATTGTTTTGCTACTGTTCTTAAATTGTACATCTACTATATCTTAGCTAGATGGCAGGAATTGTTTTTTTTATTTGTTTTTTCATTCATTTCAGTCATATCTGACTCTTCATGACCCCATTTAGAGTTTTCTTGGCAAAGATATTGGAGTGGTTTGCCATTTCTTCTCCAGCTTATTTTACAGATGGGGAAACTGAGGAAAATGGGGTTAAGTGACTTGTCTAGGGTCACACAGCCAGGAAGATGAGTCTTCCCCATTCCTGGCCTGGCACTCTTATCTACTGTGCTATCTAGCTGCCTTCTATGTTTTCGTGTGCATTAGTTTCCTGATAAGGTACAGAATAATGCGTTGGGCACTGGATTAAATTCCTATTGAGTATTTGAATTGAGAGAAATGCCCTAAGTCACCAGGGTAGGTAAATTTAACTTTTAAATTAAACCATTTATTTAATATTTTGATTGAGTATTTGAATTGAGAGAAATGCCCTAAGTCACCAGGGTAGGTAAATTTAACTTTTAAATTAAACCATTTATTTAATATTTTGCTACCTTTTCACCTACATATCTGTGTACAATTTTATTAAAGTAAAAAATAAAAGACAATACTATGATTTACTGGTGTGATTTGTTTTTCATTAAAATTTCATTCCTATGCATAGAAATCTCTTTTTATTACTGTGTTGGAGAAATTAGTGGTAGTTGTCAACATCATGGTTAACTAATTTTCTGCAGTTTAGAACTGATCCTGTACCAAGAATTGAGAATGGTCATAAAGAAAAACCACCTGGAGTTAGTGCATGACCTACAACATAACAAAAAAAAAATAACCAGACATGATTAACTTTAAGATTTTTATAAAACACATGTAATAAATAGGTTTTATTTAATGAATATAATTTAAATTGTTTTTTATTTACTCCATTTTATGCATTCTTGGTTGGACTGTGTTAATACATTTTAATGTTTTAAACATTTATATATGCAGTTATACTTGTATATTAATTTTTTAAAAATTCCGTTTGTCATGATGGCACATGCCTGTAATCTCTGTTACTAGAGGAGAATGAGAGGCGGGTGTATTGATTGAGTTAGGGGAATATGAATTGCAGTAGGGCTAAAGCCAATTAGGTTTTCAAACTGAATGAATCACTAATATAAGTGAGCCCCCAGGATTGGAGGACTGCCAGGCTTTCTGGTTGTCTAAGGAGATGTGAACCTGCCTTGGTCAGAAAAAAAGCAGGTTAAAGCTTTTTTACTGATCAACATTGAGAAATAGGTCTGTGAGTGGCAGATACACATTCATCTTGGGTGAGATGAGGA